TCTTCCGATAACGAAACTGTTAATACGGTATTTCAACTGCACCTTTATATCGTTAGCAAAAGGAGCTAACACCTGATAAAGGAGATTTTCTGATCTAGACATGAAGACTGCTGGGGCCATAGCAAAGACAGCCGCAATTTTCTTCTGATACTCTGGTCGTTCACTACCCATTACAAAGAACGCCGTTCCACCCTGGCTATGTGATATGATAATTAGCTTCTTTTGCCAGGTTGTATTGAGAATGTAATCAATCGTTGCTGGATAATCGTACACCCCGATTTCATGCCAACTATAAATAAACACAAATTGTTATCGTTAACTGCGAAAATACTCATTTATTTGATTTCTATAATCTTAATGAGTAATTATTAATTCGATTATACCTGAACAACCAAAATTCTCGATCTGAGACAGTCCAGTCCAAATGTCTTCGTGAATACCTATTGCCGCGCGCATTAGCCATCCATACATCGTACCCCCAATCTGCTAATATGAAACCTAAAATTTGGAAAAATATTAAGGAAATATACTTGGAAACTAGTCAAATTTTATCTTTCCTTAAATTTAAGCTATACAATCTAGGTCTGTTTTCTCTTGTAGAAGAAAAGTTCATCATTTTGCGAGAAAAAGAAGGAGAGGAAGGCAAGTGGTTGAGTTTAAAAAAGTTTATTTCATTTACAAATAGCAATTTGATAATACCTAAACCCTTTTCAGGACCTGACAGGAGCCATGTAGCTGAACAGTCAAGAATTCCATGGAAAAGTAATACAACTGGCTTATTCTTGGACGGTGGGCTCTTTCCCGATCCCTTAATTCTATGCACTTGCAGAACATACCGGTCCTCGGTAATAACTTCATGAGTTTCTGCTGTATATCCTGCTTGTTTTGCCAGTTGTTCCTGCAAGAATGTTCACATTTATTTCATTACAAATTAAATTAAATTTATTATGAAAGTAGCTTAAGACATACGTATATTTTGTTTCGAGATATTGAAGTTTTCCGTTTGGAGTCGTTTGCGTTTTACGTTAAAAAATTAATTACAAATCCAAACTCAATATAACGATTCTATTATTTGTTATTTTCTAAAAATAATTTCATATTATTGTAAACTAAATGAACGTAATATGAAATAACTGAAAAATTATTTTCTTTTAGGTTTTTTGCTTAGACCATGTCTATAATTATGGGCTCATATTACAATTTCCAGTAAAATTTACTCACAGGAGTTGGAGTTTCATGACTAAATGTGACATCAGAGATTTCGTTCAATTCATACTGTATCTCTATAAGTGGTACCCCTAAGATCACTGGTAACATACAGTACAAAATAAAGTATATCTTAAGCATTGCCGCGGATGTAGTCTTTCTTTAAATAACTCGAATAATTTCATAGCCCTATATAAAGAAACACAGGTACAGGTGTCCATGTGTAAAAAACAAATTTATTTCTTATCTATAATCAGTTATCAGTTAAATCGAATAACATTCAGCCACCTGACTATTCAATCTTTACGAAGATAAATCATTTATCAGTTTTGCCAAGTGTGATTTATTTTATATTGTTATGTATCTTTATCTGTAAATGTCCAGATTCTATGTATATATAAATACGTAAACAATGATTATTTCAGATGAATTGTTCTGTTCATTATCATACAATTTTTCTGAAAAGATAAGTACAGGTACAAACAATATCAAGAGATATTCCAAATATTCACTTGATATTTATCGATTATGTACCTTATGTTTTCTAAGTTCAAAAGATTTTGATACATATCAATCAGTGATATGATAGATAACTATAAAAAAACTTATTTTAAATGAAACTATATTATTTCGAGACGGAATAGTATTGTACTAGTATTAATAGTACTATGCATTACTATTTAGAGTAAAAAAGATGGTATGATTATTTATGAGAGGGATAAACTTTCAGTGGAAATAGGCAAAATCATTTCTGCTCGTACAGAAAAGAGATTGATACCTATTGAGTACAATCTACGGCTTCTCTAGTTTTGAGTACAAAACTAGAGATTGTACTCAATAGATATCGATCTCTAGTTTATTTAATTTAATCTTTTAATCGGCAGAGAACTTAATAGATCTTTACTCGTTACCTTTTAAAAATACAATCGTGAAACTCGTCCGTCCAGTTTACCAGATATTTAGAAAAAGACGTGCGTGACTTTCGATTTCTTGAACGTCGAGTTTTACTTTGAAATCTCGTTTCAACTTCGAGACACTCACTAACTTTTTACTATGAAATGCTAAAAAGGGATGCCGCATAATTTTCAATGCAGTAATATTAAACTTTCACAAGTAGATGCTGGTCATTGAAAAGTTGCCTCGTCAATTTCTTCTCCTCGTAGATCCCATTCAATACCATTTGAGTGAAGGTGAAACGCTTCTGTGCGCCTAAAGAACCGTCATTTGTACACGAGAGAAGCAAACATTACATCATATTGAATGTTGTAAAAGGAGGTCATAATCATTGTGAACAAGGGAAAGTATTACGAAACAAGTATGTATATTTGGTCCAGCGAACTGCGATTAACGTATAAATCTTTCCAGGTTTCATCGGTGTTTATCATTTAACACATTTCCATATCAATATTTCTCAATGAAGACATCTCACCGTTGATCATAGTAATTTGCTCTGTTATTAAAATGTATCATGCTAGTAGATCAACAACTATAAATAGTATTACCGTTTAGTTACTTAATAAACAATTTGTACGGCAGTATGTCTAAATCCAACAGATAGAAAGTAGTAAATCGCGTGCTCACTAGCGGAAAATCGATTACGCAAAAGAATGGCTCTTTTGTCATAATAGCATACCGGAAAAAATTTTCCTAGCCGCTTGTGCTGTGTTCGTTTTGTAGATATCTATGAAAAAAGGAACATTGTGAATCGCGAAGAAAGTAAGGTAGAAGAATCGTGAAATCGCAAGGAAAGGTAGGAGGAAGGGGAAAGGAAGAAAAACCAATAGTTTCTACCAGACGCGACCAAAGCAAATGAGAGATGCAACTCGTCTTATTAAAATACCTGGTATTAATGTCCCTCGTGTTCTGTACCATTGAAACTAAGCGTACAGGTAAACAGACTTTAATAAAAATAAAAGTAATCGATTATCTTAATAAACCGATCTTTCTTCTTTTCAGTGAAATTCCCTGGAAGAAGTCGAGCAGTGCTACGTCGAGTGGTTAGTCGTGAGAACTTGAAGCCCAAAATCTGCTATGGTATGAGTAATGCGGAAATCAGTTTTTAATTGAGTGGATAAAAGATATGAAACAGATGAAAAATTTTAGAACAAGTTGGTTGCTTCGCGGATCCACTGCCACATTTAACTTTGAAAAGGCCACCGGAACATCCTAACGTAATTCAAACAAGATTTTTTCTGTACACTCGCTCGAGTCGAGATTCTGGAAGCCTTCGCTACGATGATGATTTTAAATCCGTTCTTCAATCACAATTTGACTCGGTGAAACCTTTGAAAGTTATAATACATGGTTACAAAGGAAGCGGTAGCGATGTTGGTGCAATTCTTTTGGTACAAGCCTTTCTGGACTTGGTAATTAACGTGAAATGAATATTTATTCCATTGTCAATCGACGACGATTTAGACTGTTAAATCTATTCGTGTAGATATACGTGGCATATATGATATATTTATCAGGAAGACACAAACGTCTTAGTACTCGATTGGACAAGAGGAGCTGCAACGACCTATTCTGCAGCAGTAGCGAATACAGAACTTGTAGGACGACAGTTGGGACTTGTTCTTTTAGACGCTATCAGTTTGGGCACTCTTCCTGAAAACATCCATGTGATTGGCTTCAGTCTCGGAGCTCATGTCGCTGGTTGTGCCTCGGAGATACTGAAAAAGAGGAATCATCTTCTAGGACGTATAACAGGCCTAGACCCTGCATCACCATTTTTCAGGAATCATCTGTTTCGAGAAAAATCCAGAAAATTGGATGCTACCGATGCTCAGCTTGTAGATGTAATTCACACGGATGGATCCGAGGATTTTGCAGACGGCTTTGGACTTCTTAAACCACTTGGTCACATTGATTTCTTCCCAAATGGCGGTCGAGAACAACCTGGTTGCATTGATGTAAAAAATTCTGTTGTTGTTAGTCATTTGAAAGGTATAATTCTTTTTGTTAGTCACAAGTGATTTGACATTCTTATAAACAATTGCAAAGATAATGATAATATTTCAGAGGATATGTTAACTAGAGAAATCGCTTGTAGTCATTTAAGAGCGTGGACATATTTTTTGGAAAGTGTACGCGTAACGAATGAATCATGTAAATTTATCGCTTGGCCTTGTCCCCAAGGAAAAACTTCGTATGCAAATGGAATGTGTTTTCCTATGGAATCCTCCCTATGGTCCCAAGAAATGGGCTACCGAGCTAATCGCGGCCCTTTAGGAATTTATTATTTGCCTACAAGAGAGCAAGAACCATTCTGCGGTAAAATTAACTTCTGTGGAATGCCAAAAGTTCAGTTTTTATTTCATTTTTCTGATCAGGTCAGCCTTTACGAGCGTCAGTAACAACTTCAGAACAGGCGCCAAAGACATCAGGGATATTATTCTTAAAGATTGAAGATCATGATTCTGCGATGACTTTCACATTTCGTTTCACGTAAGATATGCCTTGATAATAACTGCACATGTTTTGAAAAAGAAAGACCGAATCATCATCGTTATCGATGTACTTGAAACTTCTATTCCATATATACATATACAAATAACTTTGAAAAAATATTTAAGGATATCAGTTCGAAAAAATAGATGGATGACGTTCTACAACATTATTGCAGCCAAATTTCAATTTTTATCCGAAAATCAATCAATGATAAAAGCACACATTTGGTATCAAAACGATAAGGATGAAAGAAACGAAGATGAAGTTACAATCCCTAACTCAAATACATTATTCATAGACAAAGTTATTATTGAGGATAGAAAAGGCAGCAAGTATGTAAATATATGGTTATTTAAAATGTATTCTTATTATAGTTTTAACTAACATTTTATTTATATATTTAGATGGGAATACTGTATACGAAATACTGCTATAAATTTACAAAAAAATTTGATAATACTTCGTCGTGAACATTGTACTTTTTTATAAGGAAATTCTAGTATATCATACAAAATAAATTATTGTAAAAAGTGTTTATTCTTACCATATATGACATAAAAAAAAAAAAAAATAATAAAAAACTAAATAAAAAAAAATACTCGTTGAGTGAATAATTCTCTAGTAATAAATATTATTATTGATTCCTATGATGCATTCAAATTACTTTTTCATATAATATATTAACTGCATTTGTTATTATTAAAAAAATAAAAGAGGAAGAAGAATTATTTCAAATAGCGCGCGTGAAATCAAATATAGTAAAATATAATGAAACCATAACCTATTCGAAACTTCAAAGCGAATAAACTAAGCAATACTAAGAACAATGTTTGGTTTAATGAATCGTTATTTTTTAAGATGTTCAGGTCATGCATTTAAGACTGTAAGTATCGTATAAAATAATTATATTTGAATTGAATTACCATCTTCAAGCATTAATGAATTAGTAATTTAAATAACAAAATAAACATTAGATATTTTACTTTAACAAGTACTTTAAAAATTACAGGTTTCATTCCGAAGCTTTGAGAAAAGTTATCCACAACTTAGAGTTATAAATGTTTGCACGTCTAAGTATGTGTCTAATAGATACATACATTTATTACCAAGTAATAAAAAAGGCTCTGATATTAGAAAAAATGTTATTACATGGAGAAGTGTAATAATTACAACTATATTAGGATCAACTTTTTTACTTTATATGTATTATCTCCAAGAGACAAAAGATAAACAAATAGAACGTGAGAGAAGGCGTGAACTAGGAAAGGCAGCAATTGGTGGAAGATTTGAACTAGTTGATTCCAAAGGAAAAACATGGAAGTCAGAGGAATTTTTAGGACAGTGGGTTTTAATATATTTTGGCTTTACACATTGTCCTGATATATGTCCAGATGAACTTGAAAAAATGAAAGAAATTGTCAATACACTAGGTATAGCATTAATAGTATTTCAAGTAAATATACATTATCTTACATTAAATTATAATTTTAGAAGAGAAACATAATATAAAAGTTCAACCCATATTTATTTCTGTGGATCCTGATAGAGATACACCAGAAACTGTGGGCAAATATGTTAAAGAATTCTCTGATAAAATTCTTGGTTTAACTGGAACCAGAGAACAAATTGCTAAAGTATGCAAAGCTTACAGAGTATACTATAGTAATGGACCTAAGGATCAAGATTCAGACTACATTGTCAGTAATTTATGTTTCTTTAATATATAACTTAAATTCTGCTGTTTAATATAATAATTATTCTATTTATATTTTAGGTTGATCATACAATAATTATATATCTCATTGATCCAGATGGGTTATTTGTAGACTATTATGGTTTGACTCATACTGCTGAACAAGTTGTACATAGTGTTTGTATAAACAAGATAAAGTATGACAAAATAAAAACAGATTCTTGGATTTCATCAATACCATTTAAAAACCCATTACCAGTGTAATTTACACTACATGTATATTAATAATTATGTTCCAAATATTTAAACCCATAATCTGTGTTTTTTTTAATGCACAAACACGAATAATTATATGAAAATGTAATAAGTACTTCTTTTATTTAATCGAATAAACTATGGGTAGTCGATCGATATATTCCCGTGACATTTATTCCCTAGACCTATTTCCGGTTGATAGAATTCTATATTGCGTCAATCTGTGTATATTACTTTATTATATATTTGTAAGTGACATGTTGATATTTCAAGTGTACTTTTAAGTAACAGTGAGTGTATAATAAAAAGGTCCGAAGATATTTGTAATTAATAAAACTTCAAAATCTTACTGAAGAAAACTTCATAATTTTATTATTAGAGGTTAGAACTTGCCCATTGTAAATAATTTAAATTTCAAAATTTGAATTGTTGTTTATTAACAAATTCTATTCCAAGTTAAATCTTTTCTATATAATGTTTTAATATTATGTGGAAAGAACTAAATTGATATGGCAGAAGATTTTGGAAGAGATACACCACCTATGTACACAACAAATGAAGAAACAAAAACTGCTGGACAACCTCTTTCCGATTTTTTATTACAACTCGAAGATTATACGCCAACAGTAAATATATAAAACATCATAATTGTAGTTCATTTATTATCATTAAAAATTAATACTAAATTATATGGTTTTTTTAATAGGTGCCTGATGCTATCAGTGAACATTATTTACATACAGCTGGTTTTAATACAACTGATCCTAGAATGTAAGAAAATTGATTAATGTTTGAATACATTTTTAATAACTGTTATTTTATAACTATGTATATGGTAATTTTAGAGTGAGATTGGTTTCATTAGCTGCACAAAAATTTATATCTGAAATAGCAAACGATGCCCTACAACATTGTAAAACACGTGGAGCCAATCAGAACACAAAAACAAAAGGGAAAGATCGGCGTTACACTCTTACCATGGAAGATTTGACCCCAGCAGTTGCAGAATATGGCATCATAGTTAAAAAACCACATTATTTTGTTTGATTTAGGAGTGTTATTTTGCCTTTTTTATTTATAAGTGATCTTTATTTATTTAATATTCTTCATATATATATATATATACACAATCAATTTCTAATATACAATATACTATTGTATAGTTTTATAAATATTAAGCAACTTGGTACAACAAAAGACATGAAATTGTAAAATTAGTGTAGTCCATACATAATAGATTTAACATGACCAAAAAATTTAAATATATTATGTTCTATTGTAAAAATTAATTCAGACATGTTTTTACTGGTATAAAAACTATTCAATTTATAAAATATACAAGAGTTAACAATCATCGTTAAAATTCTATTTAGTAGAAATAAAAACGATGATTTTGTAACAAATATACGTGAGAAGTTCCCTTGCTCTCAATGCAGTGATCCATTTAGAAAGTTGGATCTAGGAACGTAAAAATATTGAAAAAATTTCTTCAGCTGATGGTGACTAGAAAAACAGTATATTTTGCTAGTAACTTTTTAGTGTTGCAGGTATACCAGTAATTCCGCATGCGCTTTATTCCAAAAAAAAACCATCAGCCATATTGGTGTGTTGTATCGCTGTCCTCAGTAATTTCGAAGATCAGTGAGGTATTTCTCTCATTCATCATCCGATTTTTTTCATACTCATTGCTTCATGAACAATCGGGGATGTTAATGTGATATTTAGTCATAATAGATTGTCATTTGTGGATTTTTATGACATTCATGAGCGGAAAAAGTTTGGTTAATGTTACCACCTGGGCTCACGGAAATCGGTCTGTTTAAGAACATGTCGTAAATAAATGCGTACTATTTTCAGTGGATTGGAATATTCATAGAATATTAATACCTTCTTCTACAACGTTAGTTTTTTGCCTAAGATTATCATTGGTGTTGGTTTATTTAAAAAAAAATCACAACCTTTTACGAATACTTTGCCACCGTCTGCCGTGCTCTCTTACCTTCGGTCACTTTTACTTCGTTCTTTTTATATATCTCAGTTATCTTTCATGATAACATTACATTTGTTACTCTTATGATTATCATTGATTATCGTAGTTATTCAGTTTTTGTCGAGCAACAGGTAAAAATTATCGATGTGATTTTCTATAATTATATCGACCTAATACATCTTCAATATCTGTGGTTATTGTCATACGATTATTCGTGTTACAGATGAAATTTTTCATTTATCTTATATGATAAATGTGATTTCTATTAATATTATTTTTTAAAGAAAAAAATCAAATATTAATTCTTTATTGTACATTGTATTTTCCATCTTATATATATTTTTTTTGAGTAATTTATATGCAGGTTTAAGAAAATAATCATAATTGTTAACATGATAATAATCTTTTCAAAGTATTATGAATATGTTTCTATGATAAAATATTATGTTTTCAGTAAATAGACCGTCATGACGGATTCCATGAAATTTGGTCCAGAGTGGTTTGTAGTCTTTTAACAGTATATTTATTAATACACTATATATTTTTGTTGAGATATCTTACTTATTACAATGAATATATAGGTTGCGTAATCTGTCTGGAGACACTTGCAATAGTAGTGGCAGTGGTGGAGGTACTACAAGTTTAATTACTCCACGTTATCAATTAGCTAAACATAGATACGGGCGAGAAGAAATGTTGATTTTGTTTGACCGTAATTGTAAACCTCCTGAACCATTGACAAATTTCTCATCATTATATGTTGAGAAAACTCAACTTCCTTTGGCTCTTATACAAATGACAGAAGATGAAACGGTAATTAATCAAATATACTTTCACATTCATAGATATTTATATTTTGTTATAATAAATAATTCTATGGAATAATTTGCTTTCTATGAAATTGTTTATATATGTCATATATTATAATACTGTTATTAAATTTATTGTTATTTAGAATATTAATTAATATTCTTCAGTGATTATATATTCTTAATGCATTCTATATTGAGAACTGCTTCATGAAGTCAGTTTCAATCTAAAAATATAACACACTGGAGCCCTTGTGCCAGTTCTTCATAGCACTCTCCTATCTGCTGTTGTGTACTTTACATAATCATTACTATTTTGTTATCATTCTATACTTTATATTTTTTTTCTGTAATGCATCTATTATAAACTAAAATACATTTTGTTACATTTTACTGATTATATATAATATCTACATTTTTCAAATATTAATATAAATTATTTGAAATATATTTGAAATAAAATATACATTGTATATAGTAAACATTTTTTAGCGGATGTGGAATGGAGGAATAACTAATGGGGGTCGAGGAAGAGGTGGAAGTGTGGATCGTGGGGGGCGTGGAAGAAATGGAAGAGGTAGCTTGTATTCCTCTCATTATTCCCGTGGCGTTGGTTTCGATGATTCAGGAGATGGATCACGAATCGACAGTCAGTCATTTCAAGTATGTAATTTGTTTCATTCTTTAGGAATGAAATATGTTGATACAAGCACTAAATGTAAAAAGCAAATTACTTTCTAGCTATTTTACAGGTAAAATTTGTACATATTATTAAATAGTAAAATATCTAAAAAGTTGAAAATTGTTTATATTAAATAAAAAAAGAAAATTTTTTTTTTATTCAGGGAAGAAATCGTCCGTTTGATAGATCTCAAAATGAACGTGGTTGGTCAGAGAGAAATGGGGCCTCGGATCCTGGTGAATGGAACGGCTCTACTAGTCCTAGAAAAGAATTAAGTCGCGGGGCTAGTGGTAGTTCTCTTATGGAAAATAATTGGCGACGTCATCGTGGTGGTACAGAAGACGATGATAGTTGGCGAAAATGGGGTATATATAATTATCTGTAAATGTGTAATTGATTATAGATTATTGTTTATTTAATCAATTTATATCTCAGGTAGGAGTAGTTGGCGTGACAGTGGAAGTATGGATAGAGATAGATTAGAGAGAAATGAAGGAGATGGAGAGGAAGGATGGAATAGTGGTGGTAGGTGGGAACATCGTGGAAGTCATAGAGTTACACACGATTCAAGTCATCACCCACCCCCTCGTACAGCACGTACTTGGGAATCAAATCATCATGATAATAATCATGATAATCTTCCTGAATGGTGACTTTTTAAATATTTTTTGGCTAATATAATCTAATAAAAAGTCTAAATAAATTTTAATTATGTGTAATGATTCACATTTATTCTAGGGCTACTGAAAATCCTAGCGAAAGTGGAGGAAGTTTCGATGCTTCAGGTGCATTCCATGGTGGAATGTATTCAGATGACGATGAAGATGCGGTGATAAGTGCAGGTGGTACTCAAGAATCAAGGACTCGACGTGTTTCCGAAGGAAGTGCTGCTAACATAAAAAAATCCAGTAGCAAACCATTATCTTATAGCTCGTCTCAGGGACAAGTAGCAAGTCGTAATGCCAATGGCGGAACTAGTACAATTAGTAAAGAACGACCAAAGTCTTTGCATCCGTTTGATGATAATAAAAATGGATGCATCGGAAAAGAAAGGAGAAGTAATTCTCCAGCAAAATTGCCCATTACTATAACAGATAATACCCCTGATAAAACATCATCTGAAACTTCTCAGAAAAAAAATACAGTAGTGACAAATACGGAACAAATGGAGACTGATAAAATACCACCAACTGATTCAAAAACTAATAAATCTCCTAGTAAAGAAAAGAAGAAAGAGGATATTGAAACAGAAGCGAAGGTGGATTCGACTCCTACAGTTGTGAAGAGACAAGTTCCATTACAAACGGAATCTCAAAATGTCGTACATAGTGTGGAAACGGATAATGTGAGACAAAAGTCGGAAGATGATTTGGATAGAATGAAAGAAGAAGCGGACGCATTAGTTGCTAAATTAATGGCAGATGAAGAAAACCACAAGGAGAAGACTGCCAGTATACCGCCTTCTATTGGTAACCAACCTTCTACAGTTCCATCTACAAATGGGCAGGAGAAATGGTTTTACCGTGATCCACAGGGTGAAGTTCAGGGTCCGTTCTTAGCAAGTGAAATGGCAGAATGGTGTAAAGCTGGTTACTTCACCGCAGGATTAATGGTAAGAAGAACTTGTGACGAGCGGTATACCACTTTGGGAGATTTAATAAAGATGTGTGGTAGAATACCATTTACACCCGGGCCTCCCATTTCTCCCTTAAAGGTACGTGTATTTTTTCGTAATCTTTTAGATATATTTAAAAAGATATAAAAGAAAGATTTATCTGTTTTTTCTTTTTTTTTTTCCTTTTTTTTTTTTTTCTTTCTTTCTTTCTTTTAGTTAACAGATCAGGTAATACCGCCTGTTCCTAACACAGTACCAGCTGGTATGAGTGCATTATCAAAAACTGGTATAGAAAATCCACTTCTTCTTCTTCAATATCAACATATGCGAGTGTTACAAAATCAACAATTAATTTTAAGACAAATGCAGGCGTCGGCTATAGCGAAACTTTCTCAGTCTGAAAATTGGGCAACATTAAGTCCCATGGAACAAAATCAGTTAATTGTTCGATATGTTCTTTACGACGCAGAGATTCCGAAGGTACCAATTTCTACAAATCCGTTTGTACCTCATCTACCATCTCAGTCTTCAAATCCAATTATGCAACTTTTCACTCAAATGCAACAGGTAGCATAAATTTATGTGTAATAGCTTGTAAAATAGCGATATTAGATGTTTATAACTCAAATGTTTTATATCCTTTTTCAGGCTAAAACACAACCAGAAACTCATTTAACAACAAATCCACATTCAACAACAACAGCGCATCCAATTACGGTTGATCCTGTTCAACAAGCTATACAGCAAATGGTTGGTCTTCAAGACATGCCAGGAATTCAACAGTCAAATATAAATTCTACATCAACTGCAACACAAGAAGACAATCCCATAAAATCTTTGTTGCGACAACTAAATGTTAACACAAATGGCCATCCACAAACATCTCATATTGATACAGTTTGGCCACAACCTCCACCACAAATAAATCCACAATTTAATGCACAGAATTGGTTAGCTCAAGTATGTACAACTTGTTACTAATAATTAATTTTTTTTTTAGAAAAGTGTAGCTTTATAAACACAATCGAGATTATACTGTTTAGGTTGGACCGATACCAGCAGTACCTCCCGGTCAATTACCAACGTCATTATGGGATCTGCATACTAAAGAAATAAAGACTGAGCAACAAATATTAGTAATTACGATTTTATGAGTTGGATTTTTTATTATCTAAAATAGAACAAAAAACTGAAAGTTATTATAATGTTGCAGGAGGAACAAAATCTTCAATTACAAGAAGATCGAAAGAAAGAAGAACTTCGAAAACAAGAAGAACTACAACGACAAGCTGAAGAAGAAACTGTCAAAAGAAAAAAGGAAGAGCAAGCTAAACAAGCAGAAGAAGCGAAACGAAAAGATGAAGAGAAAAAGAAAAAGGAAGAAGAAAAGAAACGGAAAGAGGAAGAAAAGCGCAAACAAGAAGAGGAGAGAAAGAAAAAAGAAGAAAAAAGACGTAAAGAAGAAGAGAAAAAGCGAGAAGAGAAACGGAAACAGGAAGAGGAAACTTTAAGAAAAAAACAAGAAGAGGAAAAGAAGAAAAAAGAGGAACTTAAGAAACAAGAAGAAAAACAAAAGAAAGAAGAAGAAAAAAGAAAAAAATTGGAAGAAGAACAAAAAAAGCAGGAAGAAGAAAAACTGCGGTATGGTTCTATAATAGTCGGGTGTTTATTCGACAAATTATTTCAGTAAAATTTAATACTAATTAAATTTACATCTATATTTGTTTACTTTCTTTTATTATAGGAAAGAAGCAGAGGCGCGTAAGCAGGCTGAAGCTGAAGAACAAGCTCGACGAGCGGAGCAGAGGCGACGAGAAGCGGATGCACTCCGTAGATTACAAGAACGAAGTAAAGCACCATGGGCACAAGCACCTCGTGCTCCAACTCCAGCTACTCCTGCTGCTTCACTCGCTGAAATTCAGAGACTCGAACGAGAAAAAAAAGCGGTATGGTATCAAAACGTTAACAAAGTATTATTATTTCTATAAAAATTGTTTCATTTATTGTTATGAATGTTTATTTAGGAAGAGCAGCGGTTTCAACAAATGATGCAGCAACAATTAGCACAGCAGAAAGCCATGGAAGCAGCTCAAGAAGCATCTGTAACTGACTCTTCTAAGAGATTGCAATTTAAATGGGCAGAAAAGGCTACATCATCTACCAAATCTGTACCAGTAAAAAGTCTCGCACAGATTCAACAGGAAGAGCAAGAACGGATCGCCAAGGTAAAGGTACTTATTACTTTTTTGAATATTTTATTGTTGTATGTTAATTTTGATATATATTTCTTCATGTGTTTTGAGATTTTGTTGTGTCTGAAATATTGTATTTGTACAAAAACGTAAGAAAAAGAAGTGCAGTCCTTAAACATATTACTGATTATTATTGCTGACCCTTCAGCAGCAAGAAAGGGAACGTCAAGAAAAGGCAGGACAAAAAGAATCAACGAACGTACTACAAAATGCTGGAATATGGGGCACAGCTTCACAGTGTTTGAATTGGGCCAATTCGAGTAACTCTATTAATAGTCAAGCTTGGTCGAACAATAGTGGTACTAGTGGTTTTTGGGACGATCCCACGCCTATCAAATCTTCTACAACTGCGAAACAATCTACCAAACAAACTACTGTAACAAAGGCTCCTACTGTCAATCAGCAACCACAACAAAGTAATAAAGCAAATAAAAACAAGAATAAGCGAGATGAGGAACTGGTAAAGAAATTATTTGAACAGAACACTGCCAAGACAGATGATTTCACGCAATGGTGCAACAAAGCCCTAAGTGGTTTACAGGTGTCTGTAGACAGTAAGTTAGAGACTCTTTCACATACGTATTTTTGTTTCGTTTATAGATGGTTTGATGAGCAAATTTTACGTGCACACAGTACCCACGTTTGTTGGATTCTTGCGAGACATTGAGTCTGCATACGAAGTAAAAGAATATGTCCGAGATTATCTTGGTGATAATAAACAAAGTTCAGAATTCGCAAAGCAATTTTTAGAAAAACGTAGTAAGTGGCGATCGGCCCAACGACCTCAAGTACAAGCAGATGATTTGTGTAAACCAGCACCTGCTGTTAATCCTAATGCACCCACGGAATTTCAGGAAGTAAAGGTATCTTGAATAGATGATAAATGCTGGTAATGAAAGATGATGTATTTTACAAGCGCTTAAGTGCTTAATATAATCTTTCAGGGAAAGTCAAAGAAGCCAAAGAAGGGAAAAATGTACAAAATTGATAATAGAATTCTTGGCTTTAATGTAACCGCAGCCCCTGATCGTATCAACGTAGGTGATCGCGATTATGGGGAAGATGTTTGAATTATTTCTGATGACTCTAACTGTATTACGGAAATTGTGCAACGCTTGGCCCAACAAATGGTTTGTTATTTATTTATTGTAGATGCCAAATAATTTCTAAGGAACCCGTTGCGAGTACTTCGTTAAAAGCATATAAGATTTTTCTATAATTATGTGTGCAAGGATCTTATCTCTTGTATCCTTTACTCGAGCATTAATGGGAGCCTTAGATATCAATATAGCGTGGCATTATTTCCTTTTCAAATGGAACTGAAAGACACACTGGAAGAAAACTCTATTGTACATACTACTCAAAGAAAAAGATACTTCATAAAGCAGGCGAACTCATCTCCTATTTACGCGGTATACATATAAATATAAATAAATATATATATATATATATATATATATATATACGTA